TCCTCAATATATGACACTAAATCCTTGGCCTCCCGGTCCTCGTCGTATGGCTTAAGACCAGTCAATAATTCAAGTAATACTACACCGAAGCTAAATGAGTCCAGTTTTATGCTGATGTCTCCCCGATGGGCTTCCGGTGCCATATATATAGTGGTTCCGACCACTGTTGTGGTCATTGCTCCGGTAGATGTACCGGTGCTTCCGGCCCTAACTAATCCAAAATCGCCGACTCGTGCGTTCAAATTATGGTCGATTAATATATTAGCACTTTTGATGTCTCGGTGAACGTATGGCTTCTCATCAAATGTATGCAAATGATGGATACCTCTGGCAGTTCCCACCGCAATGGCCAGTCTTTGGCTCCAATCCATACAATGAGGTCTCCTTTCCAGACAATCCTGAAGGGATCCGTTAGGCATATAGTCATAGATAATGAGAAGTGACGGCCCGTCGCAAGATATGCCACGAATTGATAACAAGTTTTGATGAGAGAATTTACTCATGACTTGGATTTCCGATAGAAATTGTTTTTGAAAATCATTTTTCAATCGCTTGACTGCAATATAATGGGAATCCCGTTGGAGTCGACACCGGAATACTGTCCCAAACGCGCCTTCGCCTAACTTGTGGTCAACAAAATCATTGGTCGCACAACGGATCTCATCGTATGAGTATTGGACCAGACCTTCAATGATTACATTTTCTGTTTCATTGGTTTTAAAACTAATCAGTGATTCATTAGGCGCTGACGGATCTAATATGCGATTCTTATCCTCATTATTATCGGTCCACTGTTGACACAGTTTTGTCGACAAATCACTAAATTCTTTATCAAAACAATTCTTATTATCATTGAATTTATCGCTGTTTTTAGTATTGAGATTCATATCACTCATCATTTTATTGATGGATTCATTGTCATCACAATTGATATCAATTAAGTGCTCATACGATTCAATCTTAAGTATATCTTTGCATAATAATAGTGAGGCTCTGTATAAGTGACAAGAATTTAATAGTCTTATAAGGTCCTCAATTGTGGCCCGTTTTCGACCACTGGTTCCCTAAAGTGTCACACAATTGGCATACAATTAGGCATTTCGTAACATTCGTATCAAACATATAACACATTATTTTATACCCAGAAGTCAAGTAAGGCTTGAGTGGGACTTTTGCCTATTTTCAGCAAATCCTCCAATACTTTAACATTAGAGCTGGTGATCAAAGGGCCGGTCATCCCATCCGGTTTGGGTATAATAGCGGCCAATAGTTTCCAATTGTGGTCAGTGTCCAGGATTGTGGACAATTGGATCCGGTCTTTGATCGACAGGTGCCTCAACTCACTATTTAGGGTCAGATTATC